ATGTGACCCAAAATGTGGGCATTTTGGAATTAAATACAAAAGACAAAAATTATACCCCAAAATATTATACAAATTATTAGGCGTCATTCACGTTATATCAGGCCACTTGCATATATATTACCCTGTATGTCACAACAGGATCCTGTATGTCACAACAGGATTTCATGATGTTATATGATGTAGCACTGAAAGTTTATACACAATTATGGCTTGAACCAAATATACTCAAAACTTTGTATTTAAACCTCACAAAAACTTTTGTAACCTTACAAAAAAGTACAAATACTTTTGCAATGATGTAATTATACATTATGTGTATGAAAGTGACCTTACAGTGATATAGCACCATTAAATGTGATGAATCCAAAGCACTTAAAAATGTCCTAACTGTACAAAATATACATGCTTGCTCTCAGTTCTGTGTCTGTGTGTGTACTTTGTAGATGACATGTATGTCCTATACACGTACAAACACATAATAATTTCACCCACTTAAAAAGAGCAGTCGGAGAAAGATAGCAACTGTTAACACAGGAAATGTTAACCAGGCACACCCAGTGACAGTGTATTACTGGAAGTGAATCATACTATATCTAACTGAAACTGCAAGGGGAATTAATGAAAGCAGAACGTAATTAACCAAATTAGAATTTGGCAAGGATACCAGGCTTAACGCTCTTGCTTTTAATAACAAAAGTGTCACTGGATCTTCAATGACTGTATCAGAATATTGGTTTGACATCTCATCTGTAGATGGTGGTTCTCATCTGTAGGGCTCAATCCTGCAAGGTGCTGAACAGTGCACTCCAGTCTAGACCAATAAAGCACTTCAGCCCATGCTGCATTTTAACTTTGTGAGTGAGTCTCTGGCTAGGACTCAGCAGCATTTTGCAAGATCAAGTCCATAGTGCCCCCAGTAGTAAGTCCTGCAGCTCCAGGACTTTTGCTAGGCTCTCTCATCCAACTACTGAAGAGGCCTGACCCCAGGGTGCGGGACAAATTTTATAGTGGGGGTGCTGAGAGCAACTGAGCCAAACTGTAAACTCTGTATATAATGGAAACCACGTCAAGCCTGGGGGTGCCGCAGCACTCCCCTGCACTCCTAATTCCAGCAGCTATGCCTGACCCTGAGGAATTTGTGCCATCCAATGAGATTACCGCTTGAATTAGTATGGCTGCAGACATGAATGTTATAAAAATGTAGTTCGTGGTTGCTATTGAAGAGCTGGCAGTTACCACAATTCAGTATTTGAAATACCATAGTTCCTTTTCCAAGGAAAATATCATGCTGATAAGCAAACTAATTTCCTCATGTAGGGAAATACTGTGGTATTCCAGATATCACAGCATGGTAACTGTTGGTAGATGTCTTTTCAGTGGAGACTACATATATGAAACATATAATATATCAATATTACACACACAAAAAAACCCTTTGTTAAAAGAACATTAAGGTTGCTAAATCAAGCACCCAAAATTTAGGAAAGAATTAAGATTAAGAATTAAGAATTTAAGGAATTTAGGAAATTTAAGAATTTAAGAAATTTAGGAAAGAATTAAGATTAAGAATTAAGATTGCCTTAATTTGGCCCCCTTGTACATATGTATTATGATTAAGGTTAAGATTCTGTCATGGGTATTTTTAGTAAAAGTCAGGGTCAGGTCTCAGGCAATAAACAAAAATTCACAGAAGCCTGCAACCTGCCCCTGACTTTTATTAAAAATACCCTGGGGGTTGGGGGAGACTAAAAGTCAGAGCACTGTCGGGGGCTGACTTCTGGCAGCTGCTCCAACCCAAGCCACTGCTTCGGTCCAGGAGCTGCTGGTCCAACGGTCAGCCCACCAGTCAGCTGCTCTGGCAGCCCCAGGGCTGACCCCTAGAGACTGCTGCTCTGGGGACCACAGCTCCAGCAGGCCCAGGGACCACAGCTCCAGCAGCCCTGGGGCTGGCCACCAGGTGCTGCTCCAGTTCCACCGCTGCTCCTGGAACAGGGGCAGACAGCTGTTGCTCCAGCCGCAAGGGGGCTGACCCTACCCCGGACGCTGCTTCTGCCCTGCCTCAGAAGAAGTCACAGTGATCCCAGAAAGTCACGGAATCCATGACCTCCATGACAGAATTGTATCCTTAATTATGATACAGTCTTTAATTGCATGATCACATTACTATTTTTCCAGGTTACTTTTTTTTTTTTTGCTGCATTGCAGTAGCATCCAAAGTCTTCTGTCAGGATCAGGGCCTGATTCTACTAGACCTTATACAAACACAAAGTAAACGGTAATTTCTTTTCCAAAATAAACTAGATTTTCTTGCTTTTGTAAAGTCCTACTGAATGCAGTAAAGCCCAGCTCTAAATAGAGTTTTAGTTTCTTTATAATATCTATTCCACTTTAATCATCTGCACTGATGTTTTTCCACCCACATGACTAGACCAAAATCAATAATCCCTGATTTATTCTAAAATTAGCTGGCAAGAGGCACTCATATGGTGAGCAGCCATCATTGATCCATTAGACCTTGAAATTCATGTCACCATCCATTGAGGAGGAGTCATACATGTTAAGAATAGATACCTTCAACAAACACATGTATTTCTAATAGCTATACTCGTTTGGTCCATCTTCTTGAGTGTACAGTATCATAACAATACCTGTAATTGTAAATTTCCATTTCTGCTTGATAGAAATTAATACATCAGATGACATCTAAATTGCAGTGCTTGCATGTTAAATGTTAGGACAATCTGTCATTCACATTTACACCCTGTCTATACACCTCTTAAATCATGTTAATATTGGACCTTAAATTATAGCACAATTTTGTAAAATGATTCTTGTCGGTCTGCCTTATCCAGGAAAAGTATGTTAGCACCTTTCTACTTAAAAATGACTCTTTTTAATTCTTTCTAATTAAAGCTACAGACAGGGCCTTAATAACGCTTTTACACTGGTGTCACTTGCATCCCTAATGTGGAAGAAAGTCTAAAGTTAGAACCATTTTGATTGTCCATTTCATGTATTATGTAAAATGTTATTTGTTTTATTCCTTCAGATTCAAAAAGTAAAAACAAAGTATTTAATTCCTTATCATTTACCTAATTTGTTCAGTGTAACCAGGTGACTCAGCTGGCTTTAAACTCTGAAGTATGGATATGAATTTCAAAACATGCATTGATTTTTTTCTGCACTTTAATCCATAACTATCAAGTGACGAAATTGTTGATGAAATTGTTGCTCATACATTTACTATACAATAATATCTGAAATGTCAGAAATACATCCTATTTTTAAATAGAGGGGGGAAATTGGGATATCTGAAATACCTCTCAGTATCTGGCTTAGTGTGTGCTAACAGCTCACACAATGGAAGGGATATATAGATGGGACATATAGTCTAGTGATTCAGGACTGGAACAGGACTCTGAAGATCTGAGTCCAACTTCTGGTTTTGTCATAGAATTGCTGTGTCACCTGGGGAAACTCAGTAAACCTCTCTCTCTCTCTCTCTCTCCACTTACTCTGTAAGATCACAGATAACAATACTCCCTTTGCCCAACCCTTTGTCTGCTGGTCTATTTAGACTATCAGTGCTCTGGCACAAGAGCTCTCTCTTACTAGGAGTATTTCCAGGGCCTAGGGATCCCTTTTGCAGTTGGATGTTAAAGGTACTCCAGTAATTAAACTTTAAATAATTACTTATTAAAAATATTGACTTTTAAAGGACAATCACTGTATATTGGGAAATAAACTTGCTTTATTGCTAACTAATAAAAACAATACCTGTTTCTTTTTTCTTTATTTCCATGTAAAACATCAAGTTAGCAAGTGCTCCAAGTTTCAGACCTCTGTACTTGTACCCAGCACAAATTGCAGCACCTTCTACATTTATCTTTAACCTGGTTAATAATTGTACACTGCTTGACCTGGTACTTAACGCTCAGATATATTATGTATGAAAACTGGCTATTTTTATCTTTGAATAATGAGCAGCAAGCTTGTTCATTATTCACAAGAGAAAAATGAACTAGTTTCAGATTCCCACATACAGTATATGCCCAGAAGAAATGTTACTACTGACCATATACATAAATGTCCATGGTCTAGCCCAGTGGTACCCAAACTTGTTCCTCCGCTTGTGCAGGGAAAACCCCTGGCGGGCCGGGCTGGTTTACCTGCCACGTCCGCAGGTTCGGCCAATCGTGGCTGCCAGTGGCTGCAGTTCGCTGCTCCAGGCCAATGGAAGCTGCTGGAAGCAGCGCGGGCCAAGGGAAGTACTGGCCACTGCTTGGGCAAAGAAGACCAGGGCCTCATGTATCCCATACAGCTATGGAATTTGGTGTGGAATCAACTCCTTGCTGTAGAGTTGTGTGCTGGGCTATACATTTAATTCCTTTTTAAAAATGTTCCTGGCCCTTCTGGGTGCAAAGATAACCTAAGAATGTGAATTCAAAGCAAACTAATGAAGTGATACCTGACTACCGTGAGGTGGACCTGTGGCCCCTCGTCTGGACCACACCTATTTTAGTTTTTGTACTGGCCTCTGTAGAGCTGTTACAAAAACCTATTCTGTGGCAGGCTGGATACATAAGCTTCCTTGCTTTGCCACTCCCTCAAAGTAACCCGCATGCAGCCCTTATGAAGGGATTAACTCCGACAGAGAGCTGTATACCAGTCTTCCACACCATGAATGAGTTTCACCCACACAGTCCTGCTTCAGACTGGTATAACTCATGAAAAACTGGTACTAAGCATTTGTTTTGACAGCTCAGTTACAAACACAAGAGAACGTCCTCTCTGATATCAAGAAATGTCTCCACAAAGATTGCCTCAGAACTGTTTACTGCAACAATCTAAATTAACAAACTGCATTATTGGTTCTATACATATTAGACAGTTTCTAACCCAGTACTTTATCTTGTTTGTTCTAAGATTAGTATCTCATGATCCACATGCTTTATATATTTTTAACTCAAAATTATTGAAGAAAGAAAATATTTGCTCACCAGTTTTATTTTTGAAGAGTCTATAATTTCCACAATATCGATAGTTTGGTCTTTCTCCTTCATTTTTCTCTTTCAGTAATCTTGTAAACAATATCTAGGAGAGCTATGCTGAAGCTTATGTACCTAGGTGAACTTTGATTCTTCCTTGGACTTTCAGACTAATCTAGTGTAGAATGTGATTGACAAAGCATTCACATTGACGTTATGCACGTTTTTCAAGTTACCCACAGTAAGCAAAGAGGGTTGTTAATATTTACTCTGTACCTTTCTCTAGAATGGTTTTGAACCCTAACAGTTTATGAAAATTGCCAAATGACATCAGTGCTTACTGACTGAAAACTACCCATACAATATGCAGCACTGGGCTGCCTAGTCCAGCATTATTTTGTGCACCCTTTAACGCAAAGGATTCCTGCCTGAATGATCACAGTAGTTATTCAATAAAGTATTTAGAGAAATATCCTGATATTTTTTCTGTGCGGTTTCTAGCAATGGGACAGACAGTAATTTTTTTGTAATCCATTCAATTACCAAATTGTAACCACCAGTATTTGACAAATAATTAATATGAATACAAATTATTAATGCCATGATGAGCAATTGTGACCTCAAAGACCTTGTGACAGCAATGGGATTTTGAAGATAGATAGAATTGTGCATTCATCATGGTTCAGAGTGATTTAATGAGAGCTTTTTATCCACTGCTGTTAACATAATCATAAAAATTACAGATGAATAAAGACCTATTAGGTCATCTAGTCCAAACCTTGGTCAGGGTAAGATTATTCCCTACAGAACATTCCTTTTGCTTTGCAGGTTATCAACATCACAAGGACTAGCCTGGATTGAGCCACTAGGCAACTGACAATTGCTTAATCAATTGTTTCCCTGTAAGGGCTACAAGGCTCATCTATGTCCTTTCCTCTCTTACAGGCTGTCTAATGGGTTATTCCCTTGTAACACGCTAGCTCGCTTTTGTGGGTTCTGTTGTTCTTTTCTGCACTTGTGTATTATCCCCTTGTGAAAGGGTGTACCTAGCCTTTGCAGCTCCCTACAGAAAACACGGCAGTCCCAATACATCCCATCCAAGAAAGCAGCAATACAGGAAAAAAGGTGCACAAAAAGTAAGTTCTCCAGGCCTACCTAGAGGGACCTCACTGAAACAGCCATCTTGGAAACTACAAAGGCCCGGTCCTTCTAGGGCTACCAACATCCAATCAGAGCCCAATCAGAGCCCAGCAAGCTCAGATAAAAGGAGATGCTGGGCCCTAGTAGGCCAGTCCCTGGCTGACACCAGAGGATTAAAGAAGCATGCTTCTCTCTGGTTATAGGAGCATGAGGATTAGCCAAGGTTTATTGCTGGCTGCATTTGTGTAGCTGGGTTTGCACAGGGAGAGAGGGATCTGATAACTTTGGCCCTCTTATAAGGATGAAGATAAAGAGGCCTAGGGAAGTAGCAGCAACAAGTTGAATTGAGAAGTTTCTGGTTGTTGTTTATTGGGTTCCTGGTGTAGTGGGTGGGCCCAGGTTCCCCAAGAAGTGGACCGGGCTCACTTGGAAGCCCTAGAAAAAGTTTAAGTGTAAAGGACTCACAGTTGAGGCTGAAGATCTTGGAGAGGGCAGATAAACCCTTAAACCCCTATAGAGATTTTTGGCCATGAGTCTTGTGGTATAACTGTAGAACGGATAGAATAACTCACAATGTTTGATGTATTAAACCTCTTTTTTATTCATGAATATTTTGGGCAAATACTTCTTGTAGATTTTATGAGACGAGGTTTTTTTCAGTAACCTGTGAACAAGATTAAATTTGTCTAGGTCACATGGTTTGTTTCTATTCCTTAAATGAATGAGCATAATTCCTGCAATCATGTTTCTGGTGCAAGTACTTATAGTTACTAATTCAAAATGTGCTTTTCACCAGTATTCTCCAGTATTTGCTTATAATTCACTGTTCTCAGGACATATTACTGCTAGCAAACTAATTGACTAGAATACACATAGAAAAAATGGATACAAAGTAAAACCATTAAAAATTGTGAAGGAATATTCAAAGGCTTTTTTTGTTGGCTTTCTCAGCACTAGAGGTGGTCAAAAAAATTGACACTTTTTTCCATCTAAAAAGTCATTCTTTCTCTTTCTCAAGTTCTTCTGGTGAAGCTAATTCACACTGCATGAATAATTAAATATTCACTGGGCTAGACAAAAAGAAAGAGAGACTGACCCCATGGCCTAGTGGTTAAATCACTCAGCTAGGATATCAGAAATTTGGGTTCAAGTTCCTCCCTGGCCTGATGCAGAGTAGAGACTTGAACCTGCATTTCCTAAGTGAATGCAGTGTCCTAATCACCAGAATATTGGTTGTTCTTTGGTGGGTCTCTGTGCTTTTTCATGAAGACATTCAAAAGGTCTAGGTTTCATTTTTGCTCTGTATTGAAATTAAAAATTTCAAAACCTCTATTTTTTTTCAAGTTAGAATTCTTGTTTCCCAGCCAGCCCAACTTAGCACTTTATGGGTGGAGCTCAGGCCCTTGCAGAATGGTTGGTTTTAGATAAGAATCCAGATGGCAGGATTCTAACAATCTTCTAATTCTTATGATGTAAGGTTTGGTGAAAATCATGTGAAGTAGAAGCCATTAAAAAAGTCAGTGCTCATCAGTAGTTGATACACTGCGATTATCTAAAATACTGCAGTCATTTCTTAAAGTATTAGTATTTGTGGTATTTCAGATACCCCTGTACAATAACTATTGGCAAATAATCTTTTCATAGAGGCCACTGTTCTTGGCAAACTACCAGTATAGTGTTCCCATGAGTCTTGGAAGCATATATATATATATATATAGTAACACAAACAAAAGCTATGGTTAGTGATAGCTAGGATTGCACCACGACACCTCAGTTGATCCAAAACCTGAAAAGCCTGGAAATAAAAAGTCTCTTGCATTCCTTGACATTTTCACATTTCCTGCTACACTGTCTATAACAGGCTCCATAAGGCTTTCACTTCCATCTCCAACAGATTCCAAAAGCAATGTGTTCCCCAACTTCATTAAACTTGCACTTTGATGCAAAATCTTAATGGCGAGGTCATATACTTTATATCAACAGTGACAGTCACACATTCCAAGTCTTTGGAAAGTTAATACACTTCAGCCATGCTGAGGTTGCTGTTAAGGTTTTGTGTTAAAGTGCAAGTTTGGTGAAGATGGAGAGCTGGTAGCTTTTTGGCATCTGTGACCATCTCCAGCTATAGCAGTACTTGTACCTACAACAGAACCTCAGAGTTATGAACACCAGAGTTATGAACTGACCAGTCAACCACACACCTCATTTGGAAGCAAGCGGCAGAGACCAAAAAAAAAAAAAAAAAAAAAAAAAGAGAGAGAGAAAGAAGCAAATACTATACAGATCAGTACTGTGTTAAATCTAAACTACTAAAAAATAAAGGGAAAGTTGAGAAAAAAAGATTTGACAAGGTAAGGAAACTGTTTCTGTATGTCTTTCATTTAAATTAAGATGGTTAAAAGCAGTATTTTTCTTCTGCATAGTAAAGTTTCAAAGCTGTATTAAGTCAATGTTCAGTTGTAAACATTTGAAAAAACAGCCATAATATTTTGTTCAGAGTTATGAACAACCTCCATTCCCAGGTGTTCATAACTCTGGGGTTACATTGTAGTTAATTTAACCTTTCTTTCATTACAGGTGGCAGCTAAGTAATAATTACTACAGTTGCAGTCGGCCGATTGTCTTAATATACATGTTGCATTCAACGCATCAGTCCTCAGTGTTCAAAGCTCAAGGATGCTATGTTACTTTCTAGAGTTGACACTCAGGCCACTGACGACGGGAGCAAAGGGGACAATTTTCCAGGGGCCTGGGTGATTTAAAAGTCGCGGGAGCCCCGGGCCCTTTTAAATCGCCCATGTGAGTTGCAGGGCTCCTAGGCACGTGCAGGGTGGTACTGCAGGAGGCGAAGGCAGCCGAGCAGGCATGTGGAAGCCTGGCTGTGCCGGAAGAGCACAGCCAGCAGCAGCTCGCTGGGCACCAGCCAGTGCAGGTGCAACATCGCCCAAATGTCAGGTGGACCGTGTCCGCATGGGCACAGCTTGTGTGCGCGTGCACCAGCCGCTGCACGTGGTCCAGCTTCGCGCCCATGGGCTGATGCCACACCAGGCCAGCAGCAGCGTGGGGCCTGTCTCCAGCCCGCCCTCCATGATACGCAGTGGCAGTGACTCCCCACCCCAGCGACCCTTTCTTGGGGGCCCATTGACAGTTCTGCCCTGGGGCCCAGAATTGCTGATGGTGGTGCTGCTGACACTAACAACAGTCAAAATAACAGGTGTCATCGTATTGGATCCTCATGATTATGGAAAAACGAGTCTCGATCATATTCTGTTTTACTTTTAATTTTGTTTTTCTAACTAAAGTTCTAGATTATATCAGCAAAATGGTGTTTTGGGTTTGTTATTCTTTCATTGCTGTAGTACTGCTGAAACAATGCTAGTCTTACATCTCCTTTGAGCAATACATGACGGTAATAGATATGCTTTATTTGAAACCAATGTTTCATGGTCGGAGACAGAACTGGGGTCTACAAATACTTGCATAAGTATTGAGGCAGCTAGATTAAACATTCTCTGTCCCCTTATCTTTCTTTGCATAAGTGATTTTAAAAGTTGGTGATAAAAGATACCCCTGATCTAAAGTAGAAACTTAAGTGCAGAAGAAATAGAGCTAGTGCATTCTCCACTCTGAGTAGTTCTTAAATCAGGGGCCCAGGGATAGATGGTTTTCTGATATAAGGAAATTTAGACCAAATTTCAGTAAAAGCCAGATGACCAGCTGCTTTAGCATAGGTGGAGCTGCAATGAGCACCTACAGGATGGAAGGAGTATGTTCCTGTTTTCACTTTTCTGACCCTACTAATACCACAACTATAATTCATTAATTAAGGGGCAGATTATGAACCTCTGATCAATTATTCACATAAGTAGTCCCATAGCCTTTAATGTGAACATTTAAGTCACACATGAATGCATCCAACTAAAACAAACATCAGTTTAGAACTACACACAATGGACAGCAATACAAATTCCCCAACCACATC